ACAAAAACATCGAAATAACTAAAATCAGAGTGTGCAGCAACAGCGAAATACCTGATTATGGTGACACATAAAATAGCATACAAGTAAATTGTAAACTGTTCACTGCTTCTCTATCGGGTGGACACATTGCTATTCTCTTATAATTTGTGTATTTGTGATTGCTGCTCTTTCTGCGAGCTACTATTTTAATACATAAAGTTAAGGTTTTCTTTCTATATGTTAAGATAGCCTATTAAATGCTCAGTATTACTGATAGTTTGGAACTAGGTGGTGTGGAATTTCAGTTTATAGAAGGCTTTTTTCTTTTCTGTTTAAGGTAATAGAAATTATAAGTAACATTTTAAAATAAGATTTGCATATTTACAGAAATACTGGTTTCATTAAACCAATGAAATTTGTTTCGTTCAGAATTCCAAACAAATTCATTGCAAGTACACGCAGGCCATGCTTTGCTGCATTTCAGAATCCTCAATGTTCCATAGTATCGTATGGTTTAGCTCTGATAAATTTGAACCCTCTAACGATACAGTGTGGAGACAGGAGCCTTGTCTAGTGGAAGGAATTTTTTATGACCAATGTTTATTCATTTGATTATTTTTTTCCTTTTTATCCCCTCTCTCTTTCTTTTTATTTCTATTCCCCATGCTTTTCAGCACAAAAGAATTCACTGTCTCACTTTCCTGACTCTAAAATTGAAGTAGTGGCTCTTTCCTATGAGATGTCAAAAGGGTGGAAACATACTGACTGTGAGATGTTTAAGTATCGTGGTAATGAGAACGATAAAGTGCAGTCAATTCAATTTTATTTGGAGGACTTCTGACATTAGGAAAAAAATGGCAACTCCCGGGTAATACGGCAACGCGTGCTGATGCTGGGGAGCAGCGCTGCAGGGATACCAGAGATGCTCCTGGTGACCACAGTGTATTTCTCTCTGATCTGGGAGGCTTAGGAGTTTGGATGTGGTTCCTAGCAGCAGCTGGGGACATGTGTTTATGCTCTAGCGTGTGTAACCTAATTAACTTCCAAAGCTCCCGGGAGCGGTGCAGTGTCTCACCTGGGGCCAGCGTAGGTCTGATGTGGCCAAATACGGTGCGTGCAGCTGGGCCGGGCTGTGCCTGGCTGGAGCCAGCGATGGGGTCTTCGTCTTCACCCCTGTCCCAGGGGCGAGAGCATGGGCAGCACCAGAAGCAGTTGTGCTTTTGTACTTTGTTGGAACAGAGCTCGTCCGTGCACAGGTGTGCTCAGTTGTTAGTTTGACGCTGTCTCAGAACCTTCTAAGGCTGAGGGCTTGAGCTGCCTCTGTGACCGATAGTGGAGATCTGACAGTTTATCCGAAGCGCGTGTGTGTACCATGATAAAAACCCTTAGTTGTATGATAGGAGACGAAGTACATCAGGAGATGTCTCTGTTTTTCTTACTAGTCCTTGTCATTTATAAGGTATTTCTTCTTTAATTGCACAGTGTGATATCCTGCCTAATCCTGTCCTGCAGTTAAAATGCTAACTTCAGCAAAATTATTAGCATCATTTCTATGAAGAGGTACTTCATTGTCTCACAAAGGTGAAGCTGAATTGAGAAATGTATTCTTACATAAGTACCTGCTGGATAATGATGCTCCTGACAACCTCTTTTATTCATTTCTCTGTTTTTACTCAACAAGAACAGGTGTTTGGTATATGTCTTTGAATGAGAATGATTTGATGAAACCTGTCAATAAAAGAAAAAAAAAAAAAAGCTTTGATACTTTTCACTCTGAAGTTATCAAGACTCAGATGGCAGGAGGTGCTTGGTCTCTCATACATACAAAAGTGACTCTGTGACTTGTGGCAAAGTGCTGTTTGGCATTTCTTTTGACGAGTTGCAAAGGCAGGCCGTGCAGACACCCTTCCTGAGTCAGACTCTTGATGATTTGCCTTGACTGAGGATTTAATTGTAGCTGTGCAGATTTCGTAACTGTTTTAGTGAAGTGATATATGCAGTTCTTTTGTTTTGAAGAACAAAATAATAATGCAGTGTTGTAGTTAGTACACTGTGAGATACATATTTCTGCCCTTACTTTAATTTTTGAAATAGATATTACTCCTCCTTCAGAATAGCTGTGATCGAGTTAAAACACACATAGTGCTTTCCTTACAGCTTTTGTTGTACATAAGTACAATTTTCTTTCATTAAGCTGCTGTAATGAATAAGTATGAGAAATGAGGTTTCACCCGTGGATTAAAAAAAGTCAAGAACTATTGAGTGAGTTTAGAGAAGAAAATGTAAAATTGTCCCTATTATTAAATGTTTGCTACCTTAAGTAGAACAGAATTATAACAGGATAGCTCTGCTGTCATCATAAACATACTCCATTTTCTGTCGCCTGAAGCAGTAGAAATATGAATATAGAACATCATTCTGGTGTTATGATCTGATCAACCGAGAGAAGCTGAGAGGAGTAATCTACTAAATCTGTGTGAGGCTGACTTCTGTTAATTCAAGTAATAAGGTAAACTGGAAGCCAACCAGCCTAGTGGAATGGGGCATTGCCTTTCCTTTTCTATAACATTATAGAAATGCCTTTAAAAGAAATTTTATAATAATGTTCTTAATGATTGGGTTTTTTTAAACAGAGAAGTCTTACATTAGGAAACTAGGGATTACAAGTTTTACTGTGCAGCTTCCACCTTGGTTCTAAGAAAAAGAGGGCATTTGACTTTACGCTAAGAAAAGTGGTTATGAAAAACTCTTTAGTTGCTGTGAGTTTAAACACAATTTAAATTTAATTTTAAAGCATCTAATTCTTGGTACACTTAATATAATTGATTAGAGAAAAGTGAAGGCTTAGGAAGCATTAGTGCATTAGAAATTTTGGTAATTTGGTACAGAAAACAGCATGAAATGTAAACATCTGTGTAGAGAGTACCTGGGTTTTTTTACCTGTTGGCTGGTGTTAACCTCATAGGTATCAAGTTACTAGTTTTGGAAAATATTTAGACTGGGAATAATAAAGGTGTTTTGACATGTCTAATTGGAAAGGGATTTTACAGAGGCAAAGAAATTTTGACTAGACTGTATTTCTAAGATGAGGTGAAGAGTGTGCTACTTTGCCTTACAGTATCATTGTGCTGAAATTGCAGGTTACCATAACCTGTGTTTATTTTGAAATCAGATACTGTCTACAGTTTGGTAATAACTTAATTGGTAAGTGTTACCGATTATGTTTTTGAAAATGGCACATTGACTTCTGTCATTCGCTTTGTTTTGGCTAAGAAAATTTTCTTGAATTTGATTTTGTTTTGTAGCAGTGGAGATAATTAACTTGCTTTACTTGGATCTGTGTTTGTACAGAAGAAACCACACTTATGGCTGTTTAGAGAAAGAAAGGGTTTAGTGTGCCAACTCAATTTAGCACTTGAAAGCAGCATGACGTTTCCCAGTCTTGCATCATTGCTGCTAAAATTCTGTGGTTAAAACTGGAGAAGTTTTGTATGTCACGAATAAAAGTTAAATAAGACTTCTTGCTATGATGGCAAAATAGTAAAACTTTAGTTTTGTAAGTGAATTGGGTTTGTGTAAGGTGGGACAGAGTGAAATGTTTGGGTTTAGAGGTTGGTTTGCTGTCAGATGTGTTTAAAAACCAGAGGTTGTAGGAAACATTTGAGAGCATCCAAAGCTGTGCCTGTTCAGATGTGACACAGAAGTTCCACTTTTATCTTTGTCAGCCTCTTGGTGGTTATTTCATGTGCTGTCTTCAGTGGTTAAATTGTGAGACTTGCAGATGCAGCAGGAGATTACAAGAGTTTCCTTGCAACAGGTGTCGTATTAGAAGTTGATTAGGGAGAATTTAAAAATAAAGGCAAGCAAAATGCATATTAAAGTAAACAAAATAGGATGAGTTGAGAGAGAGGTAAGGACAGAGAAAGGAATCGAATTCCAAAGATCTGCAAGATGGAAATTTTGTGGGGTTTATTTCCAAACCTCATGAATTTAAAAAAAAAAAAAAAAAAAGACAAAAGCAGGAAGGTAATGGGCTTAACCTATCTATCTAGAAAGTTGCTGCTTACATGCTATTAGTTTGTGCCTTTCTTTATGGTCTTAGTAGGGGAAAAGGAAAAAAAGAAAAACCCACAACAACTGAATAATAAACAAATGCGTTAGCTGAGATGTTACAGCACCTTCGGATGGCCTCTGGCTTCTAGTTTGGAACATGTTGATGCTTGGCCAGTCTGGTATAGGCTGAAGAGTATTGTCTGCACTAATCTATGCAGCCTACTCTATGTATTTCATTGAATTAATATTTAAACTTAATAGTTGAAAGTAAGACTTGAAAGCAACTCTTGCTCAGTTTTTTTTTTTTTTATCTGGGCATTTGTTGGTAGGCACACTCACAAAGTTGTCTTTTTCTGTTGGGGAAACTATAGCTGTGTCTAGTAAAGTAGTGTCATCTGATCACAGTTTTTAAACCGGTAAACTTTTCTGGCTTTACCACACCACTGCAAATATAGGTAAGAATGTTGGCTATATATGTTTTACAGATATAGTTATGTGTGCATATATATATGTGTTATTGATGGACTGTGCAGAGCTTCTCAACTCCAAGTTCTTGTCCTAAAACAGGTGAGGCTGTTCTGAACTGAGAATTGCTGTTGTCTGGCTTGTTCCTGATGCTGTTAAGCGAAGTACCCTTGAGGCTGTTTTCTTGAGGATGTGTGTTGGTTAAGTAGTAATTGACAGAATGCTTTAACTGGCATTTGAATTGTATGGAATAAAACCTCTCTAGTCTTTGAGTGAATACTTTCATTTCTGAGTTAAGGCCTGTTAATGCTTAGAGTTTGTGAAGCAGAACATTCCTTCTCCTAGAGTTGTTCTGTGGATAAATTGGGAGCTGGTGGTTTGAATCCAGTCTGGGACCTTGAAGGCAGATAAGAATACATTGTTGATATTAAAGTACCTGATTGCTATGAAATTGACTGTTTCATTTTTTTGTTTTTTTTGTTTCCTTTTTCTTTTTTGCAGGCTGGAGCTCTTGATTTATTGAAGGAGCTTAAGAATATTCCCATGACCCTTGAGTTGTTACAGGTATGATTTTCTTATTGTTCTTATGTTGCAAATGTTAATGCCATAATGATGAAGGTGAAGCCAGCAAATTTGGAAGAAGGCTGCACTATTAAAGTAGATTCTTATGTAGAAACTCCTGGGAAGAATCAGTGTTATTATAGGGTAACTAGTCTTATTTCACCCTCATTTAGGGCACTTATCTTAAGATGTTTTCTTCCAGTAGCAAGCTCTTAAAGCTTATCTTTCTGTTTAAGTTGAAAATAGTGGATTTTGTCGTGGACTTTTTAAGAGCTGCTTATAAGCTTGCCTTACATATAATCTTAGGTTCTTACTAACACAAATGTGATGTGTTTCCCTCCTTCTGAAGGAGAATGCACCTGATTACAGCTGATACCTTCTTTCTTTATATAGTTAGTTCTGTGGTTCTGATTTTGGATTGTAAGTGAGGAGAAGCATAATTCATACCTTCAGGCAAGTTGTATTTGACCATTTCCTCCCTCCACCATAACGCCAAGTAGTGTATTTCTTAAGGTGATTATGCTACTACTACTCCCCATTCACTCCCCTAGGCAGAAGTGATGGTGTGGTACAATCTTTCTCACTTGCATGCGTATTCTTTCTAATTTTGCTTACATCTACATCTCTAACGTAGTCTTTCATATATTTATAAATTCTTTCAAAAAGTAACTCAGTGAAGTTTATTTGCATGTCAAGTTTCAGAGTTTGTCATGTAATTCATCAGTGAATAAATTTTGTTCCAAAGTAACTAGATACTTCCTATCTCTGTGAAAATTTTCAAATGGCAGAGGTAAACGTAAGACCTGATTTGCTGTGGTTGCCACTTAAATTGGAAAAGATTGAAAAGTAACTTTTTTCTAAGTGACAATTAATGGTCACAGATACAGAATTAGCTATAAAGTTCAAACCTTAAGTGTCAGCAGCAATGTTATTCTTGATGTATACATCCTATATATTTGCAGAATGTACTTATTATAGAATAGTACATTATTACTAATACTGTTTGTGACAGAAAATAGGAATTTGAAGCTGTCACCTTCATGCATGAATAAGCATGGCTGATAAGACACTGCAACCTTCTCCCTTATGTCCAACCACCTTTAAAAAAAAAACCAAACCCCACAAAACCAAACAGAACCCCTTTGAAAAAAAACCCTCATGCCCCACACAAAACAACAACAAAACCCAGAAAAACCCTCTGTTAACCTGATTCTTTTGAGTTTCTTTGTGCAGGTCTTAATACAAAGTATTTGTGTAATAATGTTTTTTGCCTTTAGAATGAAAAATCTCTTTGCAAGTGCTCCGGAAATTCTGTAAATGTTGCTATGCAAACCTGTTCTGCTTAGTGTGAAGAATGCGACTAGAAGGAGAAACTTTACACAGAACAGCAGAATAATTTTACCCTAGAACTGTGAGGATCTGAAGAATGTACAAGTAGATAACGTTCTTTTTTTAGTTGCAATGAAAACTTAGTAATGTTGTCAACAGAGGACTCCTCTTAATCTTGCTAGGTACAAACAAACTCAACTGTCTGCCTTTTAGGGCACCTGTGTGACCCTGACTTAATTTATACAGGGTTGCATATTCTGTCCAGTTTTCTATCCTACTTGAAAGAAGTTTATTGATTCCCATCCATATGACAGGTTCGTGTTTTTAGAGTGAAATAATATTTGCAGTAAAAGATTGTTTTTAATCTGTATTGGAGCAGGCACTGTATGTGTTTGTAAAGACGATTTCTCTGTGTTACAGCAGGTCTAAAGGGATCAGGTATTTTAGCATACTCTTGCGTAGTAGATTGACTGTAGCTTAGTTAAGAAGTTTTTCTTGAATATCCACTGCTGTGTTCAGAACAGTTCCACTGCACGAGACTGCATTTAGCAACATGTTTAGACTCAAATTTACATTATTTTTGTTGAGAGTTTTATAAATATGTAAAGTCAGCTGTAAATTTTCTATGTTAGTCTCCCAAATTTGCTTAAGCAATGGAGGACCCGGAGCAACAGCTGAAATGCAAAGTAATCATACGCATCACTCTGGTAGTGGATCGTTAGTGTGCTAATAATGTCAAGAAAGGTGATGATCATGAGAAAGAAGGAGCACTAACTTCCTCTATGTAGAATGAGATACCTGTTGATGTGTTTGAACTGGTGAAACACAGGACACAAGTGAAAAGCATGCTTCCACACACATTTTTAAGCAGTTTTGAAAGCTGGCTACATTGAGAAAAGCACTACTGGCTGATATGATAGTTTCATTATCCTGTGTAATAAGAGAAGTGATGATTTTTTCCTGTAACATGACTGTTGCTTCAGGCTGAACTGGCAGGGTCCTCTGAACAGTTTACAGGTATGTGGAATAGGAAGGTGCACATCAGAAATCTGGACTTACGCTTGCGTATTATGTCTTTCTCGCCTGATTTTTGTCACAGAAAGCTGGAGTGGTTATAGACAATAATATGACTGTGTCATATCTAACAAGTTTTATGTAAGCAAGCTGATCCTTGCTCAGCTAGGCAGGGAGCCAGTAGCTTTTCTCACACGTGATTTATCCAGTGGTCAGAATTGCAAATCTGTTTAGCAGCCGCACAGTATTAAAGGCATCGTGTCCCTGGTGCTAATTGTGGGTAGTGCACAGCTAAGCAATGAGGCAGACGGTCTTTATTTTAATAAACAGGTTTTACTGGAAATTACCCACACCTATGCAGAACTAGGTTGTGCGGTACAGTCCTTGTTAATGACTTACTGCCGGTTCATTGGCAAGCCGGGGAAACCTGGGGACCTGGAGGTGGTTGTTATTCAGGGCTTGATTTGGCTCTGCTTTGGTCCAGGTGCTCACCAGTTCTCTGTCCTCATACTCTTACACTTTAAAGTTGGTGACACCTCTGCTTGCCTCAATAGTTGCTTTTCTTCCCCAACTATGTTCCTTACATTTTCTCATTAGGTCTGGTTTAGAGAAGAGTAGCTGCCACCGTATGCTTTGTTTTGGGTTCAGTCCTAGGTTACTTATGGTAACTATTACTTGTACCAACTGAAGGCTGCTTGGCCTACAGCTTGAATGCTTCAGGGGTGACAACAGCTGTCTTACGCTGTCTCTGAGCCTCTTTGCTCTCAGAAGGCAGATGAAGAGTGCTCTAGAACTTGAAGTGGGGAAAAATGATCCATTAAATGTATTTTGGACAGGGCGCAGAAGGTTTTCGTATACCTGTACACCTTTAAATTGGCACAGAGATAAAGCAATTCCACAGGTTACCCTGGGCTAGGGAAAAATATCGGAGTTTTCCACTTCAAATGGCTCTCACAAGAACAGCTCTGGAGGCTGGAAGACTGAGGAAGTGTCAAATGCTGACAGCTGGTTTGTCACTAAAGCACATTCATTTTGCGAATATAACACTCATCTTTTGTGATTACCTGTGTCAGTTTGCAGGTAAATAAATTGATAGATCATTCCTTCCCCTCTCTTTAGGTGAGGCCAGATCAAGTACTCTATAAAAACAAACAAATGAACTGTGTTTATGTACTGCCTTAAAGCTGGCTGTTTAGACAGTTACCATAATCTGTTTCTCTTGTGATCAGAAGAAGAAATTAATTTAATCTGATTAATTTTGAGTTTTACTTGCCTAAGTCAGTCTGTAAGTTGGTGTCTTTTCGTTTTGCTGGTGAGAGTAGGCTGTGGTTGTGCCCAGTTATCAATGGAGGGTTGGTTTTTTTTGTAGATACATTCTTCTCATTCAGATGAGTATTTTATGGAGTTCCAGCCACATGTTATTCTTTATTGTGTGAACATAATGTCGAGAGTATGTGTTTAAAATGTCAAGAGAGTTGGCCAGTACTGTTAGTCTGAGTGAGCAGAGTCCACCTTGAAACACTTTAGTTACAGGTGAGTAACCATCTGTTTACTTTAATCCAAAATACGTGTTTAGAGCTGATGCTCAGACCTGAGGTTATTTGGTGTATTTTCTTTGCTGAAATAGCTGCTCAATATTTCAGTACATTTCCAGTCATTTAGCACATCCATGATGCCCCAAAAAGTGTTGTGTGGGTTGTAAGGAGTAATTTACAGGAACAAATCATTTCCATTTGTAGCGAGCCACAAAGATTTAAAATTTCCTTTAAAGGAGAAGGAAATTTATGATGAACTTTGCAAAAGTAAGTAGAACAATTTATATTTAGTGAGTCCCATAAATGGTAAACGCAACAGAATGAGCAACTTGAAGAACAATTTGAAAATTTAGTCATCAGTCAAAATATGAAATGTTAATAAAATACTTACTTGTATTGTTAAACGCTTTTCTCCTCTTGTGAAACTAGAAATGTGGGAAAATGTTCTACTTGTTAGATTAACACGTTAGTCAGAAGTCTTCTAAAATGACACTGTTGTTGCTCTTCAGCTAAATTTATGTCCTCATCTTCCAAGTCGTTAAAGGAGTGGGTTGGGCGTTACCTCCTCTTCGCTCTAGGTGGCAGTAGTGCTGAAGGTTTTAAACCTCTCGCTGTCTTGGCCTTCAGCCGTTTCCACCTAAAAGCAGAGCCCTCTGTGCTTCAGATTTTAAAGAATCTCAGTTATGCCAAAATTATTAGGAACCTAAGAAGCCACTCCCAACTGATATTACACCTTCTTCCACAGCCACTAAATGGGAATTCTAAGAGTATGAAGTCAGCGAAGCAGTTGCCAAGCTTCTGATCGTGCCTAAATATAAATACAGTCATTGCTTCGCAGAAAAATAAGGTTTTGAGGCTAGAACCTTTGCTAAAAAATTTATATAACATTAAGATGCATATCTGATTGTCATGTCGTGAGATGTTTAGTACTTAGTTTAGGTAAGTAGCTTTGCAGAGCTTTTTGAAATGATTCGGGAGCAAAAATCTTCTGATTGACTCCCGCTGACCCTCCTGCCCACCCTCCCCCCAAACTTTTGTGATGGAGACAAATGGTGATACTGTTCTACTTCTTTTTAAAATGTCTGTGTTAAAATAAGTTTTGTAAAGGCTTGCAGCATTTCATCCTGATAGTCTTAAAAAAAACCCACAAAAACAAAGAAAAAATATACTTTAGGAAAAAAAGTCAAAGTGCAACTTTATATATGTTTACTTGTGAAATTGTCTTCATTTCACCTATTATAGTGTATATTTTTATTTCTGTTGCAGTCTACCAGAATTGGAATGTCAGTGAATGCGATACGCAAGCAAAGCACAGATGAAGAAGTTACATCTTTAGCAAAATCTCTTATCAAGTCTTGGAAGAAACTGTTAGGTATGGTGACATAAACTCCCCCCCACACCCCCGCCCTGTTCTTGCATGTTTTAACTGTATGCAGTCTTGATGCAGATCTTTGACAGCGCCTTGCTTTAGATATATTTGTGCTCCTGTGTAAGTATTGAAACTTTCTGCACTGATGTAGTGGTTTTTTTTACTCTTTGAGTATCACCAGTGCGTTACTGTGAAAGTGTGTTCAGAGAAGAAGTTAATGTATTTTTATTGAGGCTGGCAAGCAGGAGGAAGCCAGCTTCTGTGACATGACTCATTTCTGAAGGCTTGTTGCCTGCTGTTGAGCTAGAGTGACTGTACTGCAGCACTGAGCACTAACGAACCTGTTCTTGACTATTTCCTTTGGTAAATATAACAGGTACTCTGAAGAGCTTGTGCAAAGTCTCTTATGAGAGTGTGGGGGCTTTGAAGTTTGGTTATAAAGTGATTGGTGAAGAGAAAAAAACAGTAAAAAATTGATGTTAAAAATCTGTTAGAACTTACAGGTAGTGAGAAGTAGATCGGCACTTTCGAAAACCTTCATAGTTTTAAACAACTTACTAATTAGCGAGTTAATACTTTTTGTTTGATTTCCCTTAAAACAATGAATGCAGTTACTGAAAGCTTTCTGTTAGCAGGATTTTATTCAAAGGAATTTGGAGTACTTAATTTTAATGTATTTGAAAACACTCAAATCTCAAACTGTGCCTAGATATTTTTGTTTATATACTGTGCTGTACTCTATTTGGTTTCTTTGTATCTAATTTTAGGTAAACTGAGACTTAGGAAGCTTAAAATTTTGAAATAGAAAACAGTTTATTTTATTTTCTACTGATTTAAATATTTGCCATTCTGTCTAGAAAAATATGCTAAATACCAGGAGGTTTTAGAGTCCCTTGCCATTTGAAGTTAGCCTCATTTTTATGAACGATGAAGAATTTTAGCAGATACTTTATTACTCTCTTGTAAATGGTGTAGAAATGACTTTGTATCCATCTGACAGTATATGTATGTAGAAATGGACAATTTGTCACAGCTTTCAACTTCTATAATCTAGTAAGAAGCAACAACCTCTACAGCAGACATATTTTTTTAACCTGCCTTAAAAAAATTAAATAATACTAATTAGGTTAGTTTTAGTAATTAAATTTAGATAATACTAGATATGCTGATAAAATACTTTTTACATTGTGATAATGACTTATTATAAATTAAATACATACTTTATAAAGGATCTGATCAGAGTTCGCTGGTAAATAGTGAAAATTATGTACTTTTTATGTGTAAATTTCCACTGAGAACTAGAAGTCCTACTGTATTATATCCAATGCATAAAAGTGGTAAGATACACAAATGGAGAAATGGACTTGCATATTAACTTGAGTTACTCTAAAGAATTCTGAAAGCAGCAGCTGGATTGAGTGACATAGCTCTCAAGTTATTAATCTAGGTTTAAAAAAAAAAAAAAAGGCCTTGTCAAAGTTTGTGTGTCTTTTGGTTTTGTTTGTTTGTTTTCTCTGAAGTTCAAATTTTTGATACTGCAACTTAGTTTAGGCAGTAAAGTAGAAGAAATACTCTTTTTTCCCCACAGAATTCTCAACTTTTGGGAGTGCCCTCAGATGCTGATTTTCTTTTTTGGGGGTGGGGATTAACCCTTCTGAGTATTGCTGTTCTTTGAGCAAAGGACTTGTGTTTATTTGGCAAGACAGTAAAAATAGTCCTGTCTTTTTTTTTTTTATTTTAACACAATATCTTCAGTCAGTCAACCTTGTCTTAATGTATTCTTGCTTACAGCTGGCTGATCTTTAAGTGTTCGAACATTGTCAAACACGGGCAGTATTATTCCTACCCGAGGACGGGAGGGTGTTTGTGCTGTAGAAGTCTGGAATAAGACTGTGGTGTGGGATGGTCGTGGCAGCTCGATCTGGGTGTAGGCTGCTGCTGAAAAGGGTGGTCCCAGCTCCCCTTCTGCGCGGGTGCCTCCTTACTCCCTCCTGTGCTACAACTGGTGCTCAAATGGCTATCCAGGAGACCAGAGCTTGGAACTGACCGGTTGGAAACTAACTGTTTTGTTTATTGCTTCTGGCTTAAATTTCAACTGTATCAGTTTTTTGGTCCAGCCTGTTTGCAGGTACTGTTTGCTGCATGGGGATTGCAGCAGTAACATACAGCTGGGGCAAGGTGGACCTTCCCCTTTTGATGACTTGCTGCATTCAGATTGTTTTAAGACAGCTGGGAGACTCTACCTAAGGCTTCTTGCATCTGCTCAAGTCAAACATGTGAGGAACTGGAAAGTAAATAGCAAATATTTGACTTTAATCAAAACAGAATACTTTCTTCTTGAGGCAGTCGGTATGCAACCTTTGTTCATGCTCTTATTTTTGTTACAGGGCAGATATTATTGCGTGTGCCAGGTCTAGTATAGTTGTGGTTGTGCCCTTATATAAAATCAAAGTATTTCTGAAAATACAGCACTGCCTGTATTCAAAACTTACGTAGTTAAATCTCCTTGATGGTAATGTGGACCTTACAATAAAGCATAGTAGGGCAAATGTTTCACCTCTCGTTTCACTGCTCAGTAATTCATTAGAACTTAAAATCTTGTAAGTGTGGAAGATAGGGTATCTGGGCTGCGTGAAGTATGGGTGGGAATCTTACAAAGTACTCTTATTCTGTTTTATCATTAGTTTTGACTTTCTTGGAAGAATACGAAATACCGTATGTTGAGCTGCTTGAGAAATCAATTTCGATTATGCTGTTTATAGTGCATGTAAAATGGTACGGATCAAAGATGACAACAGAAGCGGACAGCTGTTAATCGTACCAAGCGTTGTACTCAGAGATCTGAAGTCTTTGTGAGTTATTTTTATAAATGACATTTTGAATTTAGGGAAGAATTGTTGACTGTTCAGGCTGCATGTACTGTTTAAGTTTAGTGCTATCGGAACTTGTGTTTTAAGAACGCATGGGAAACATGAGAAGAAATCAAAGTAAGGTTGTGAATCGCCAGATGTTTATGGCTTGACTAGAACCATGCCAGGTTACCAATGGTTTTTCAGGGGGATCGGAAACTGCGCAGCAAGGGGCTTGCAGATGTTGTCTGAAGTGGCTCACCGAGTGAGCTACAGTGAAAGGTCACTTTCAGATGTTGCTGTAAGAACGTTAAACCACACAACCGAGTTGGTCACAGCTTACATAAGGAAGCAAATTTGGCTCGCAGAATAAAATACCATTCAGTTATAACATGGGATTTGCAAATAACAATTGTTTTGCCAGCTAGCTGAATATATAGAGTATACTGTGCAAATAATGAATCTATGCATACCCATTTAGGTTGTGAGGAGTATTCCTTTATATTAAAAAACAACAACAACAAAATCTGTAAGGAGTTTAACATTCTATGTCACAAATAATTACTTACTGAATGCTAAGAGTATACAGTGAAAAAGAATGTCCACACCTCTAAGTAAGTAAACTTAACTCCAGTAAGTTTATGCACTGAACTGGAAATGTAAAATGATTGGACAGTGATCTTAACATTAAGTGCAAGTGTGATCATCTATTGCCAATATTAAAAACTAAAAATGGGGCAATGAACAGTTTGAAATGCCTATTTCAAAAAAGTGCATGCCTGAGTAATTTTATTTTAAAAGAATGTTTAAGTGCTTAATGTTGTCAAGAGAAGATAACACCAGCCAGACTTCATGGAAGTGTTTTACTCAAATTGCTTTGTTCATATAATCCTTTGTTATTTTGAACCTGGATTTAATTCTACTTGAGCAAGCTGATACAGTCTAGGACTATTTTACAGGTATGTTAATGCTGTCATTAGGTAAAGTTGTTCAAGGACATCTAGTAACGTACTGGCTTTGCTCAAAAAAATTGTTATGGACAAAACAAGTTCCTAAATTACGGTCTAATAGTGTTTAAGAGTATTACTTACTATTGATAAGAAGAGTACCTATCTCTTATAAGATGTCAAGTACAAAAATAATTTCAGTAGTTTTGTTTCTATATCAAGTATGAGCTGTGGAAATCACCTCCTGTCAAAAGTGTATTTGGAACTGTTCCATGTGCAATTAGTAGATCTATAATTTGTTAGGATTATCAATGGAGAGATAACACATGATGCAAATTATATCATACTGTATAGGAGAAAAAACAATGTATAGCAAAGAAGTTCATGTGTCATACTCTTTTATTACTTACAATTAAAAAAAAATCTTTAAAATGGGGAACAGTTTGTAATTTTGTTGTTTATTTCTAGATTTTAGATATTCTTCCTCCCTGTGCTACTACTAGGAAGAAGCTTTTCTGATCTTGCCTTCATGTCTTACTCCATCTTGCAGAGAGGTTGCTGACAAGTGTAGCTGCTTGTGCGTCCCAAGATTATTTTGGTCAGGGTCTGGAAAATGGGGCCCACAGCATTATAAAATATGAGGTTCGTTGTTAAATTAATGACTATGCCATCTGTTACCTGTTCTCATATCTCTTTCCTTTAACTTATTTAAACTGAATACTTGGAAAACTTTCCAAATTTTGGTGGTGATAGCTGAATCAGTAACATACGATAACCCACTAAATTAAATTCTCATATGCTTCCAGGGAATAACTAGCCACCTTTCATTAACATTTCTGAAAAATTCTTACTTAAGAAAAGTTCTTAATTTAAAGTTAAATGTTATAAATGAATAACATTGCATCTTTATATTTTTGTAAACTTTTTCTTGTTACTAGCAAATGTCTTCAGTTCAGTTGTAATACAATTATAATTAGAAAAATCTACGATGAAACTGTTAATGGCTTCTAACATGTGGATTAATTATGTTATCTGGCCATATATTATTACATTAAAAATTTTGTTCTGTTAACAAAGAGTACTGTCATGTCATGTTTGACCCTGGAGAGATTATTTCACTGGAAAAGCTGGAAGTATCTTTCAAATTAATTGCAAGTCCCAGGTAGAAACTGCAGTGCAGTAGTCAGAATTTGATAGTCTTATTCCAGTAGCTAATAGTGAATTCATGTCACTAGCATATTCTTTGTATTGTAAAGAAGAAGCGTTGATATAAATTAGCTTCTTTTATTTAAAAAAAAAAAAAAAAGGCTTAAAGTTATGGGGTTTTTTTATGGCCTTCTGAAGCAGCAGTAGCTAAAACTGTGAAGTTACAGTTTTCAATCCTAAAATTGATGACAATTTCAGTTTGTTTCTGAAAAAAAGTTTTGGTGAGTTCTAGTAGCTGTGCAAAGTTGAAAAAGTAATTGTGCCTCTTTAAAGCAACTTGTAATTTGTATTATATAAATATTTATGATGTTCTGTAGACTTCCTGATGTGAATCACTTGCTCATTGGAATTTTCAAATATCTTTCACAGAAGGGCCATTTTTTCCTTCCTACTTTGTTAGAATTTCTGTGGCTGGTTGTAGTTCCCATTAGCTGTCATTCTTCCTTTCCATCAGAGTCTGGTGTTGAATGTAAAATAAGTTAATTAGTAGGGACTTGTAGCTTCTCAAGGATAATTTTTTTTTCCTCTCTCCAGAGGATAGTTGAAATGCTGTGTAGCAGGCTGTTAATTGCATTCTGTTCTTTTGTCAATACAGTATTTTAATAAAATAAGAAATCCTTATTAATATGTGAGTTTAAGAATAAGTACCACTTGACACTGGATCTCCTTTCCTCAGTGCTTTCCAATTTATGATCCGTAAGAGTGAATGACTTAAAACACTTAGGAGAATATTTCTAGCAAGTAGAGAATATTGTTAACTTTATTTTCAGATTTCTGAAACTGGATTAAACAAAAGTATCTATAAACTCTTCTCTAAGTGATTAAAGAAATTGTAGTTTTGAAGACATCCTTACTGAAGATGGTCCAGTTGTCTCAGCTGCTGAAGTTTGACCTTGGCTTGAGACATGCTTGCATAGCCTGGTCTGCAGGTGTAGGGAGAGCTGTGCTTTTACCTTTTGCTCTGTCCCTGTGCCTCGTGTATACCCTGCCCTCCGTAAGGGAAAGAAGCACTCGGGGTATTGGCAGGTGTTCTCAGGTGCCTGCCTTCTCTGATGAAGTGGTGCTGGGCTAAATGGAAGTGTTTGATAAACTAAAACTAGGTGCCAGCTATATCACAGCGAAGTCTTTGGTGCAAAGTAAGCAGAAGATACCTAGATTAGCTTTGAATTTGCCAACTTGGGTGCCAGGAAAAAACACGGAGGTAAATGGGCTGGAGCAGAGCTCAGCTCTAAGGCGGTTATGCTGCTTTGCAGAACCGGAGCTGTACCCCAAGATACCTATTTGATCTATCAGTTTGTCTTAAAGCCTCTGACAAAAATGGGCATGTACTTAAAAAATGATGAAGGTAAAAGAGAATATATGCATATTTAGAATATTTTTTAAAATTATATATCATGTAAGTCCTTGTTGCCATAGAGAGTAGTCATGTGAAGATGCATGTTAAAAATGAGATTTTTCTTTCTCTTAGTGTTGTGCACTTTAGGTGTCATAGCAGAAGAACTTGTGTGATCCATTCAGTTTATAACCTCATTTGCTTTCTTAGTGAAGTTACTTTTTTATAAATAATAGTTGATAAATTTATACCTTTATTAGGATTTTTTTGAATAACACTTTTAGCGTATTAAAGACAATCAGTCCAAGTCTATCATCTACTGTGTTTAATTTTCCTTTTTTTCTTTAATGGAGAAATTTATCAAGGATTGAATACAAGGTTACAAACAATGGGTGAGGAAATCACTAAACTTTGAAGCTCTTGAAGGCTGGGGAAATATTCTAGAGAAGTATCTTTGTGTGCTTGCCTGGTTCCTATACTGTTTTGTAGCTATCTCTCTTTAGGTACAGCTGGAGACAGAATAGTAGATGGGTGCTTGGTCTGATCCAGTACGACCGTATCTGGTGTACTTTTATGATGATGATTTTTTAACAAAGTGATATTTGATTGGGTAAATTCCTTAACTCAAAGATTAAGGAAAAGATCAAAATCCTGTTCAGTTTAATATCTTTTATGCGTAGCTTTAAATGTAAATTGTTCCTATTAAAAATAAGCCAGTACAGTAATTTTCTGGTCTCTAGGAAAAAAACCCACAAACCTCAGTGCTTGAATAAGAGACCTGAATTTTTGTGTTCCATACGACCAAGTTCCCCTGAGAAATGCAGGGATGGGGCTGTTCTGGAAATGAGGATACTTTTAGATGCCTGAACAAAGATTTGGGTACCTAGTTCAGGACATTTTTCTGGGAAAGACTGAGCCTTATCAGATTTCCCTCCTTTTCTTGATCTGTTTCTAGTCTTTTTAAAGTTTGTAATATATGCTTATCCCAATAATACAGTCTACGGATTTAGAAGTGTAATGGCAGCTTTATAAGGACTTAGAGAGAGGAATTCACAAAATCTGTCAGTGAGCGATGCCAATCTTGCTAGCCTTTCTCTGTAGGCAGTGGAGAGTCAGCCTTCCTAGAGAGCAAATCAAAACAGGAGCGCGATTTAGCCACTCTGAATTCCTCTTTACAATAGAAGGGTGTATGTGTTCTCGCTAGGCTGAAGTTAAATGTTGTGATTGCCCTTTTTAATAAAGGCTTTCTTCTTTATAAAATCATCATTAAATGTAGCTTGTATGGGAAAGACAAATTGAAATATTTTTAAACACTAAGGCAAGCAATTTAAGAGCTACCACAGAAAATACTATGTGCGTGTCTGGAAAACTCCTTCAAAAGTGTATGAAAATTATCTTTATTTTTTTTTGGCAACCGTAGTAGCTTTCACACAATGTTTTGTTTGGTTCAGTCCTTTGGTAGAAATCCTGTGAATATAATTAAAAAGAATGGCATGTGTTTAGTAGGAACTTATATTTAAAACGTGGAAGAGAAACTCCAGAAACTTGATGCAGTAGTTTGAGAAGTTGTTTACCTCATGCAGCAGTGTTGGCAAAAATAAATCATAAAAGTCTGCATTTTCATCATGTCTTCACTGCTGGTTTAAGCAGATGCTGGACTTGACTCGAAGGATCTGAAGTGTTTTCCATATCTGAAGATACTTCCCATTCGCTGGGGTGCGGAGGGCGTTGGGGAGTGGAAGGCTGTACTGCAGGAGAAGGTCAAAGCAGAAAGTGGGAGCTGATAGCATTTTCAACTGGTTCAGGAGAAATCATCAAAGATACTTTACCACTGCTTTAAATCAGGTACTATTTTTGGATAAAAGAGAGTTTCTCATGTTTTGTATTTCCAGATGGACCTTCAACTGATAAAGATTCCGAAGAAAAGAAAAAGGAGCCTGCATCTTCCTCACAAAACAGCCCTGAAGCAAGAGAAGAAAGGTGCTTAATTCTTCATGACTCTACAAATAATCTCACTTAGTATAAATTAACATTAAACTATTTGGTCCAAATTTGTCATATTAGAGTCAGCTTCTACATTCTTTTATGAAATACATAGAATTGTTCAAGAAATGGTGTGCTGTTAGGGAAGTAAATTGTGCTGATGCTGACATTAAAAAAGATTAAAGACACAGGTCGAGATATGGCCAGACTAGTTACTGTTTATTCCATCTGTCTCATCTGTCAAATACTTCTCCTTCTCTCTGTACTAGCACTGAACTTTGAGAACTGTAAACCAACTTGCAGTCACAGCTTTGTGGTAAATGCGTATGTTAGAGATTTAGAATACTTCTTTTGTCTCTTAGCTTTTACGTTTAATAAACAATCTCATTCTGCATTTTTTTTTTGGTAAACACAAAATACATGTTCTCAGAAAAGTGAGCCCATGTTAGTGACGCTATAGGAGCAGAAGAACATTTGCGAAATAGTATCTGCAAGCCCATTTCTTCTATACAGTTCTGTTTTAGTGAATCTGTTTCCAGCAGCCATTTTAAAATTGAAATTTAACGTCTAACCATTTGTCCTGGTGCAAGCTGAAAACTTTTTTGTTTACAGTTTGCAAGGCTACATTAATTGTTTGTTTGTGACCCTGGTACTACTTCAGTACAGTAAGCAGACTGAATGTTAGTGTGATGTATCTTCACCAATTTTTTTAAGTATAGTTCCATGAGGGAAAAGAAAAGATTTCATGTTAATGTAGACAAATGAGAATTAAAACTTATATACCACATAATGGAATGAAATAACTGCTGTGTCTCTATTGTGTGGAATATCCTGGTGAATATTCTAATGACACTTTTAAAATTGTATTGACTGTAGAGCTATAAGTGGCTTTAAAAAGGTGTCCTGTGTTCTTTTTTTTGGAATACTATCAAATGGATATAGCAAAATAACTGTGTTTTGCCCTGGAACATATTTGAAGTGAGGGAAAGACATTAATATTAGTTTTCTTTTTGCCTTTTTTTAGCAGTTCAAGTAGCAATTCCAGCAGCAGGAAGGAGGAGGGTAGCGCTCCCTCAAATTCTTTCATCCCTTCTTTCCCCCGGGCTCCAAGCACTTCGGATTCTGTACGAGTGAAATGTAGAGAAATGCTCTCTGCAGCTCTAAGAACAGGAGGTGAGCTTTGTAGACTGTGTTTTCAAGTTTAACTATTTCCTTTTTTTCTCTATTTCAATCCTTCGCACTCTATTTTTCTCCTGCCCCGTAGGGCAGAATAAACCCTGTTTACATCCATTTGTGTGTATGCCTATAGGCCAGTTCACCCAAGTCACAAGTAATGAGTAACCTTGACAGCAGGGGAATGTGTTGAAATACTTTTTGTTGCTGATAATACGGGACATATTCTGACTTCTGTTCATCTAATATCTTGCCTACAGTGGAACTTCTTTTCAGGAAGGTTATTGTCTCCTTAATGCCTCGGTTAAATCTTTTTGCGGAAGCTATTTTTTTGTCTTATCTCTGACTGAGAGTGCCACTATATACATGCTTGCCTTTCTTACACCAGAGATCCTGTGGATCTTCAGATTTTGCTTTTTGAAGGCTGCCTTTCTGTTTTGATTTAATCTTGGAAGTTTCATTGAGATACTTGCAATAAGAGAGTCTTGCATTGCTCTATCTTCATGCCCTTTGGGCACCTGTAAATTCCTTGACTGTTTTGGGTTTTTGTTTTTTTCCTTTTTCCCCCTCACTTGGTACATTTGGGCGGTTTTAAACTGAAAAGGTGAATGATATGCTAGATAAGGAGCAAACTGAAAGTTGGGACTCCTCAGAATGACCTGAATTTCTTCTTGTGGGTCCTTCTCTTCTACCAGAACTTATACCCAGCTCCTTTTCCTCCGTTCTTAGCTTAGTGTAACCTGACCCAGTGTAAGCAGACTTCTGAATCATCCACTTCTACCCTCTTCACTCTTTTATGTGAATTAGAAGAAAGAATAAATTCAGATACAGACAGTAATCAAAGCTGACTAAAGACCATGAATTTGTGGACCTCTGGATATGTAGTTCATAGAATTCTAAAATAATGTGTGACCAGAAAGTTACATACAGCATCTTAGTATTCATAATTCTATGTAGTCTTAATTTTAGCTACTTTTCTAAGAATTCTTTTTACAGTGTTACTTTCTACAGCACGTATAAACTGATCATCCATGGGTTGAATGGCAATCTCAAAAAATAAGGTTATTTTCTGGTTTTATGGCCTTCTGCATGAGACCAAAGGAGAAATGGTGTTTGGATTACTCATTGAAGTACACCCAAGTTAAAAAGAGGAGGAGGAAAACACATGCTGTATCTAATTTGTCCTAAGCTATTTTGGAAAGGCAACTGTCTTTATGAGTAAGGGTTTTGGTCAAAACCAGTAAACAATTACCTTGACACATTTTAGGTCAAGTGTCGCATTGTCTTCAAGATTGCTAGGGCCTATTTCTTCTAATTTACATGTTTTATGACCCATCTCTGCTTTTTTTTTTTTTTAAAAAAAATATCTAGTAATATAGTTTCTGTTATTTAATTACTATGTTTTTAATGAAATCTTTCTCTTGCATGCATGCAAAACATTAATCGCTTATCCTTATATTGTGTGAATGGAAAGAATTGATGAAACACAGTACGAAATGTTTTCTTTTTGTAATAGTCTATTCTACACACAGATAGGCTGTGGAGATGGATAATTTGCCAAGCCTATTAGAATATTTAAAGCTTTTCTGTATAGCAGAATTTTTTGTTACTACTTGTGTTTGCAACAAGATGTCAGAATTTTTGGTTTTGTGAAAGATGTAGGTTGTTCTAGTTTTTTTAATCTTCTGTTGCTCTTCATTTCACTTATTTTTGTTCTTCCAAGTAATAAGTTAACTAAGTTTTGAAAGGCTAAGTATACAGTAAATCAAACTTTCCTATACAAAAGGAAAACGCACTGCAGTTGTTTCACAATTTTGCTGAGTTTCAGAGTTTTGAATGGGTTCTCAGGGATATAGAACACTGATGAGATTGTCAGGTTGCTAATATTTTAATATTTGTTTTCCTCAGATGATTACATTGCTATTGGTGCTGATGAGGAAGAGCTGGGTTCTCAGATTGAAGAAGATATCCTTTGTTGTACATCTATCTAGAACAAGAGTATTTTTTTAAAGTATTGATAATGTTAAAAATAATTACCTTATATATTTACTATTTTTAGATTTCATTTAAAACAAAAATAGCAAACTGTGTTCAACACATCAGTGCAGAAATTTAGTGTTTAAAAAACTAGGACAACCTAAACAATTTGCCTTAAAACATGCAGGAATGTGTGTGGGGTGAGTGTGTGGGATTTTTTTCAGTTCAATATGTTTTCCCTGCAGCAACAATATTATATTTTACTGAAGTATTCTGTCATAAAATGCTAGGCTCTTTGGTGTTATTTTTAAAATCTTGTCTTGTTAACAGTTTTAATCTTTTTCTAATGTCTTTATTTCATTTTCTACAAGTTTGTTTCTGAATGAACTTGTAATTTTCAAAAGAGTTGTTCTGGTAGCAATGTTTGAATAGTTACAGAGCAGAGGTCTGGGCGTCTTATTATATTTTTTTTTTTTTGGGGGCGGGGGGGAGCTATTCGAAAGCACAGAAATAGTCTAAGCTTCATGAATCTAACTTGCTAATATCCCTCGGTTGTTACAGTCAGCCACCATTCCTGTTAAGGAATTTCCTGTTTTTGTTGCAAACCTGTTTTAAAATTCTGTTAGTGATCTGCCAGTGTTTGAATATTTGGTTTAGAAATCAATCAAATAGGAACCGGACATAAATTTATGGGTGACTTTTCACCGTTTCAGTTGATGTCCTACTACCCAAAAATTCACGTTGCACTAAGCAGGTACTATACTATGATTAGGCTTCAGAAGGACGTGAAGTCTGCTGACGTGAACAGGAAAGTAACTGTTGGTTGGGGTGGGGGACAGGACTTGATCAACAGTGGAGAAGTACATTGCTTTAGAAAAGTTGCCCCCAAAAGTAAATCCTTTATAGTGTTCTGTTTTACTTGTTAATGTTTTGTTCCTTAAATCCAAAGCACCTATTTTTCAAGAATTAAAAAACACTGATATGAAATACAAAAATAGGGTACGAAGTAGAATAGCGAATCTCAAGGATGCAAAGAATCCTAACCTAAGGAAAAATGTGTTATGTGGCAACATTCCTCCTGACAAGTTTGCCAAAATGACAGCAGAGGTAAGTAAAGCATAGGTCTTGAACTGTTTCCCTGTTGGACTTACCCTGGCCTGTATTTATTAGCCATAAAAATAATTTATGTAAGCTCCCCGCACTTTTGAAAGACTGTGGCTTGTTTGTGGCTTGCACAGTCTAAATTGCAGGGCTGTGTTGGTGCAGAAGGAGTAAAAGTGATGTCTTTTAATGGTTCCTAAATATCTGATTTTGTCTCTTAAGTCAGAAGGCAGGTAAGCTGTTGCGTGTGAATTTCCTGAAACGTGGTATGTTGTGCAGTTTTTAAAAGGCCACATGATATATCAGTGATAATTTTTTTTAAGTTCAAGCAGGTGTAAATACACTAGCTAGTACACATTCATCTTTCAGGATATGCAAATGTTAGCCTGTCTTGCCATTTGTTTTTCAAATGCTAACCTCTGCTGTTACACTCCTATGCAAGGTATAGTCGTTTTAAAGATCAGTATCTCTCCTGTTGGCATTTTCAGCATTTAAAGCTTATCGCTTGAATACTTCAAGTGAAACACTTAATAAATAGAAAAAGCCTAACTGATAGGGGAAAGAAGCTAGGAGAATTACCCTTTAAATCAAATTAAATTTATGTTATTGAAAGAACATTTTGTACACTTGAATTAGAAATTCCTGTTTGGATGCTCACTGTTTTTACAAACTTCTGTTCAGATACTCACTGTCTTCACAAATCAAAATAAATCTAGGAAGTCAAATGAAAAATTAGTTTTTATGAGAGAGAAAAATGAAAGCATGGTTAAGATCTGGTTTCAGTTTTGTAGTTCTGCTTGTATGGGTTGGATTTTACTCCCCAAATCAGTTACAAAGGAGTATCTTGGAGACTGAAAGAAATTAAATTTATGATTAAGTAGTGAAAATCATTATTAGCTTTATTATAAAGGAAATTTTCTTGGTTTGGTGTTTTTTTCTTTTTATGGCTTTATGTAAACAGTAGGGCAAACAGAGGCTGATAAAGGAATATGTAAAGCAAAGTACATGGTATCTTCACTACATGTTTTGAGTTGTTTTCGTTCTATGTGTGTACGTACATATGCACAAACATATGTTTTGTGTTGTCCAGTGCCCATTCTTTGTTTTAATTAATGTCTTGGATTAAAATTTTAATGGCCAAAAAAACAGTCTTAGTGTTAAGATTACTTCTAAAGTGAAGCAGCATTAACACAAGATTTGTGTTCCACATCTGCATGGGATATGGAGTAAAACTTTATTGAGGAATAATGGAACAACTTGGTTCTGCTGTGCACGCTTGATTACTGTACATTGTGGAGATCCTCCAGACTAGAACTGTTTTAAAGGAAAAAGAAAATTGTTGAATCTGAGCTCTTCAGTTAGTTTTTTAAAGCTAAGCGTATATGACTTCTGGTAACATATGGTAAATTATGGCTATACGGTATTTCTCAGTACTAATATGGAAATAGTGAAAATAGTGTAAATTTTTCCTATAATAATCTTCTGTAGGTCAATGAGATAATTATTCAAGGATCTAACCTAAGGAGAGGATCTTTTTCTTCCTCTCTGGAGAACTTCTCTACCTTGTCTCTGTATGACATTTCTGGACTTCAGAAATGCATTTGCATAGAAATGTTTCTAGGTGTTTGATATTGTAACTTTTACTAATTTATTTTTGTTTTTTTCCCCAGCTGC